GGGGCAGAGCAGCGGGGTAGCTGCGGGGTTGGTCCAGTAGTGCCGCACCTCGGCGCTGCGGGGACCAACCTGGAAGCCCCCCCAGCTGCTCTGTCCCAGGTGTACCCAAGTCAGCGGCTGAATCTGGGAAGCTGGGGGCAGAGCAGCTCCAATGGTCCGGCTGCCCGGAGCTCTTCCGGGTTCCTGATGGTGCCGGACCATCAGATGCCGGACCATCGGAATTTTACTGTAAATAAGAGTTTTATGATACACACACAGTGGGGCAATATTTGCATATTCTCAATAAGTGTATGTCAAGCCTAATCATCAAGTTATGGGCTAAGTTCCCTGTAAGATGCGCTGTTATCCGACCTCTGCTCAGAAGTTCAAACCTCCTGCCAAGACAAGGAGCTCAGCTGACTGGTGGGGACCGGGATGTCCCCTTGCTAAGCAAGCAGCTAAACAGAGCTAGCTGCCTGCTTGAAAACTCAGCAGCTCCCAGAGCAGGTAAAAAGCAAACTAAGGAGACAATAAATGGCTGGGGGGAGGGGAAAGAGGAAGAGAGAGCATGTGAGTGATTGGCTAAGGGCAGTTAGAGGGAAGGAGGGTTTGGAGAGTCCCATCTGCATGAGAAGAGAGAGGCCGTAACTCAATACTCTCAAGCCTCCTGCAAAGGAAGATAAGGGGCTGACTACATGGCATAAGTGGGGAAAAGTGGGGGTAGGTGGGGGCTAGCATTGGGGTAAGGTGGAGGCAGGGAGGAGTTTATTTGTGCTGTGGAGGTGCAAAAGGTGTGGATAATTTATTTGTGCTTTAGCTGAGAGTTAGGACAAGACAGACTGCTGATGCTTGCTAGTTTGACAAGCTGGATTTTATCTCAGCCTCCACCAGGGCTGGAGGGAGCAGATTGCACAGGGGTAGGTGGGTGCTGGCACCTGTGCAGTGAGGTAGAGGGAGGGGGAGTTTGTTGGGGTGTCCCTGACTCACTCGCTACAGTCCTTTGTCTGTCTGGGTTGGGGAGGAAGTGTGGAAGCAGGCTGAGTTGGTAACAAACACAACATGAAAGTTTCAAACCAGACCTTTTATCTGTTTTTACCAGAACTTTTATCTGTTTTTACAGCATGGATCCTAAACATTCCCTAGAGAAACTGCATAAACTTTAGTGAATGCCTCACTTACCTTTTCAGTGTCAGTAAATATTGTATTAGTCATGCTCTCCTTGCAAATAGTATTTCTAGTTGACTCAGATTTGTTTAGTGTCTTAAAGCTGAGCTATGTGTTGATAATGTGTGTTTTGGTGTTTTTATTAGCTTGAGTTGTTAGAAAGGATGATAATACATGTACTCAAAGGTAGTGTTAATTTTATTTATTTGATTTCATATTACATACTGTAAGCATTGCTCCTTGTTAACTATCCCTCATTTTAACATTTTCTTCTGCATACCCACACGCTACCTAAATACTAGTGGTATGCATAAGAAATTATAATCCGCCCAAAAGAAAATTCAGTCTGCTTAAGGATAGAAAAATTTAGAGGGAATACCAGTTATGGGGCTAATTATTCTAAAATCATCAGTATATGTACACTGGAAACTATTAGTTTTCTCTAATGTATATAATTGCAAGAAATCAAATTAAAAAATTAAAACAAAGTTGCCAACAATAAGTATAAAGGCTTACATGTCCTCCCATGGATATTCCAGTCATCCCTAGAGGTCCATAGCCCTCTCTCTCTAGCCAATGCAAAAGGGCTGCTGATTCTAAAACAAGAGCTCCTCCCATCACAAACAGGTCTGAGACATTTTTTAAACTTGATCTTCTTTCCTCCCCAGAAAAGAAAAAGAAAAAAAAATTATTATCCAATATCAGATGTAAACAATCTTCATTTCATCAGCCTACTTTTATCATTAAACACACTATCTGGTCACACTCCCCATTTCAACGGGAGGAGTGAGTCCAGAGTCTTTAGTAGTTTTATAGATTCAAGCCTCACAAGATATGACTGTTTCTTTTTATTACAATTTATTGTGATCCGAGCCTAAATGAGGACTAGAAGTAAGCAGCTATCTTCTAAATTACTAGCGAACAACCAGGGAATACCCTATCTTCAAACATTTGAGGTACCACAGGCATTGGAAACTCATGAGCACAGAACTTTCTGTGCTATAAATTAATAGTCCTCTTTCTTTTAAATAAAAACGAAGCTAAGGGATACAGTACTAGGCTTACAAGATGCCATTGGCAGAGACACCCCTTTTCCTTATTTACCTGCTTTACATCACTGAAAAATTGCACACAACATGTGAAGAGCAATCAGTAAGTCAGCTTTGGGAGCAACCATCAGTGCCACTCACTGTAAGACTGAAATTACACAGTAGAAACTTTTTCACTGCACTGAGAAATCCATGTAGTGTCTCCTACAATGCATTAACACACATTTAAAGAAAACAAAAAAGAAAAATTGAAAGGTATTCAGTTTGAACTCTCACAGTGACCATAAGTTTAATAGTTGTCTGTACATTGGGGTTTAATGGTGCAATTCCTCCAGTGCTGAACACTATTAAGTGAATGTAGTACGTCTTAAAGAACAACTACAGCATTGTTCTTGGACAAAACAAGTTTTATGTTTTCACCATTATGTCTCGGTTTTACAGACACCTCTTCTGCCAAAACATCATCATACTTGAGATATATTTTGAGGCAGGAGGACAGACTATTAGAACGGTACTGTAAGAAACAGAGAAGCAAGTATACCCAACGACTATTGTCGACTAGGTTATTTATAGGCTATTTAATACTCCTATTGCTTAGTACTCTGTTATTAAAGATATTTCAGTTCTCTACTATGACTATAATCTTAATTCAATAATTTCTAAGTATAATCCTCTGAGTGCTACTACTTCTTTGAAGGCTTCTACTGAAATGTGCACATTGCCATTTAGGACAACCGAATATTTGCCCGTTATCTACAAGATGGAAGTATTACTCTATCAAGTTGGGGAGCTGTGACTGGCGCACAAAATTTACATAGTGGAGGTAAGATTTTTTTTTTTAAATACGTTCTTGTTTCTCTGGAGGTGAATTACTACGCCAATAATTGAAAGATCACTAACTATTTTCCAGCACTGTACCTCTCTGGGATATTTTATTATGATTTTAAAAATGATGAATATCACCAAAACAATTACCTTTTTAAAAATCATCATAAAAAAAAACTTTCCCAAAATAACTGAAGATAATGAATTAGGATTACTGTATTTAATTACTCAGATCCATACACTAAATATACTACAGCAACTATTTTTGAAGCCACTCAAGGTGTTTTTTGTTGCTTTTCCACTTTCACTTCTCTCAAATGGTATAATCCTTAATTAGCTTTTAAATTAGAAGACAATTACATCAGCCACTTTCACAAGTTAAACATGAAGCACTATTGAAAGGATAGTAGTTTAAAAACAAATTATTTTCCTCTTCTTTTTGGAAATAGCTAAGGAAGCAGAATTAAACGAGTCATACATATTTAATCGTTTTATAACTACAAGGCAGATGCAAGGTCAGTTGCCTAATTTATATGCTAGCACTTGCAAACACAAAAGCCAACTTTTTTTAAAATTTATCTTTTAAATAAAGTACCTAATGTTAGGCTTCTAAGTCTGGATTTAGGCAATGAACATATGACGATTTTCAAAGATGCTGGGCACTCTGCAACTCCCACAAGCTTGAGTTCCAGGGTAATCAGTATTTTTGAAAATCTAGTCATCTATTCAGTTACCTAATTGTAGACACTTAAATACTGACCAAAAACTATTTCTTTAAAAGACACCCAATGGTGCACAGAAACATAAGCTAGTGCAGAATCTGCACAAGAGCAAGACAAACTAATAAAATGCATTGTTTTTTGCTTGCACCCCTGCTAATGTGGTTAAAAAAAAAAGTCCATCTACTTTGAGTGGAAGGTGTAAAGTTAGTCCTTTAAGCATCAAAATCTACAAAGTAGTCAACAAAGTGTCTAACTTCACATAAACAAGGTATAGCTAAGACAAGTTTGCCGCTATTTATAACAAGTTATCAAGGTTTCTATGTTTTGTGTGTCTCTTCTTAAAAATCCAGCATCTTAAGGACAAAAGATAGCTGAGAGAAATAATCCTAATACTTACATTTGGTCCTTAGGTTTTCTGCAGCCATGTAAATATTCAGGTTAAAGAAAATAAACATATATACATGCATTTTCTAGGCATCACTACATAAAATAAGAAATTAGCTCTTACATTTAAAATTTGAGACAAATAAATGACCTATGTCAGCAGTAAAGTGATTAATTCAGTTATGTCAATTACTCAGTTACATAGTTTGATTAGTACTAAATAAAATGAAGTATATATTGTTAGCCAGGCAAGGGGCTACTCCAGCTCTATGGGGCCCATCACGGACAGAAGCTGCTCCAGCTGGCTAGCCAGAGCAATCTCTGTCCATGGCATGCCTGGCTCGTGTCATGCCTGGCCCGGTCAGAGCCTGTAGTGAAACCCTCCCCAGGAATGGGACTGTAGCTCTTGCCTGCTCCAGGAGGCATAAGGGATCTGTCAAAAAAGGCTCTCTCTCTCTACAGATCCCCCTCTAGACTGCCACTTTTTGCGGACAAAGTGCTAAGTCGGCAAAACGTGGTGGCCATTTTTATGCAAATTAGGCATGGGATATTTAAATCCCTGCCTCATTTGCAATGTTGACCTGACTAATCTGCATCCCTCTGCCAACAGAGGGATGTAGTCTAGACATACCCCAAGTGTCACCTTACTTGAATTACTTGCTTACCCAATCATAATATGCAAGAACACTATTGAAAAATTGCTTACTGTCTCATTTTTTACCGTAACTACAGAATAAACTGGAATATAAATAATGTAACTTCACTGTATAGGATATTTAGCAGTATAAACAAGTCACTGTCCGTATGCAATTTTTGTATGTACAGGCAGTCCCCGACTTACGCGGATCCGACTTATGTCGGATCCGCACTTATGAACGGGGCTTTTCTCGCCCTGGAACTCACGGGTGGTGGGTCGCCACCCGTGTCCTCCGGGGCGAGAAAGGCTTCTCTTTGTCTCCCTGGTCTGCTGGGGGGGTCCAGCAAAGCCGCTGGACCCCCCCAGCAGACC